ACTCAACAGGAGCAAGTCACTTACACTTATTACAGTGTGTGTGACTCTTGAAGACCTAGGCCAAATTAAAGCTGCCACTAAAAGACTACATATTCTGACTCAATGTACACAAAATATTGAAAAAAAGTACATGAAACATAGTGGTTGCCTAGAGCTGCATGCTGAGTGTGTGTAGTACAATGGAAGAATTAGAAAAGTAGTTGTTACTGAGTATGGGGCCCTTTCAGGCTGTTGTAGGATATGCCTGTATCTTCTCACTTAATAACATCTAAGATCATCGGGTTAACTTATTCTTGTACCATTTAGTTCTCAGTCCAATAGTGGGTTAGTTTGTCAGCCCCAAGACTAAAAATAAAGTATGTTTACACATGCTATCTTCCAACTACACACATCTATTACCTCAGCCATCCACTCTACACATGTTCCTCTTTTTGCTTTCCTCTCCTGGTAAATGCCTGCTACTACTGAATTTTCAACAGGTAATAGATTTCCATACTTAACACAACCCAAAGGCAAATGGTTATCATTATTCCTTCATTAACAAATACTTAATATCCACCATGCATGACATATGTCACTGTGATATGAGCAAAACCACTCTGCCCCCATGGAACTTATAAAGGCGGTATATGGTGAACCAATACAGTCATCACCATTAACAGGACATAAACAGGATACTATGATAGAAGATACTACGGGAACACTTACTTATGATCAGGAATTGGGGGTGTGGCTTAAGTGTTGGAGCAACTGCTCAGAGGCCCTAGAGTCTAAGCTCCGGCACCAAAATGAGAAGAGGCGAGAGGAAGAGAAATCCCAACCAGAATGATCTATCAAAGCCCCTGAACATATTGCTAAAAACTGACTGAGTACTTAGCTGTGTGATCATGGGCAAGTCATTTTGACTATTTCCCTGTTTGTAATATAGAGGAAATGGTGTGAATTTTACAACAAACTAAAGAACTGTCTACCATAGGCTCATGAACTTGATTGGTTCTCTGCTGTTGATGCTGGTTGGGAAGGTTACAAAAACCTTGAGGCAGTAGAACATTACTGGAGGAAGCACAACATTCATTGCCAGCTGACCTCACTTCCTGTTTTCTGCTTCCTGTGCTCAGATGAAATGTGATCAGTCAACTTCTTGACTGTCATGACTTCCTGGCCATGATGGACTGTATCTCTTCTGGAACTTAAAAGCAAAGTTAACTCTTTGTTTTCTGTTGTATTATACCAAAGCAACAGAAAATACACAGGAAGCTCTCCAGTGCTATTTCATAAGGCCATTCAAGTTCTCCCTCCTGCAGGCAATCTTTCTACAAAAGCAAACAGGCAGCAACTAACTCTTGAGTCCACAGAATATGAATGCACTAGTGAATAAGATGTGAGGCAGCAGGGCCCTAGATGGTATTGCTTGGTACCATTAAGCAGTGAAGTGATTCCAGGAAACAGATGAGATGCTAAGAGGAAATGGGCAACTGTGAGAATATGCACACTTAAGAGGCAAAAATGGGTGACAAGGAACAAATGGGTGCAGAAAAACCATGGAAGGGCCTGACAGTTCCTAAATGTCTCATGCTTAAACTGTCTCCCTAGGTGACTTGCCATTGTGCTTGTCAACACCAGCTTGATCTTCCCAGGGACAGGAGGAGGATGGAAACCTTCAGTTACTGTGGTCACCATCTGAACTAGTTCTTGCAGTTGTCTATGTTTCCACTCTAGTCTCCTAAATGCCACAGATAAGTGTCACCTTAATTGAGACCAAGAATATGACTTCCTAGGTCACTACTTACTATCCTGTGTGTCACGAAACATACTGAAATCTGTTTCATTTGTCAAGGAAATGAGATACTAGTTCTACTTCTCAGCACATTACTAAGACTTCTTGATCTTTCAAAACTGGATTGTAAACCCTTTGAAGTACACTTTATGATTCTAACAGCACCTTTTTTCTTTCTTCAGGGAAGAGTGCGAACACACCTTAGAGTTCAGTTTTGGGAACATAGCTATAAAAGTCATTCACCAGAAAGGGGGAGGGAGGAAGCAGTCTGAGAAACATAATGCTGTATCTATCAAAATCTAGAATATCTGAACACAGTAATCTATTTGGTTTTAGTTTCACTATGTAATTTGAGACTGGCCTCAAACTTGAGATCCACTTGCCTCTGATGCCTATAGAATTCTAGAATTAGACACATGCCATATCAGACCAGCACTATTTTCTTTCCCCATGGAGGATGTTGGCCTTCTACAGGAACATGACAGGCAACAGAAAGAATACATTCAGAGCCCACCAGGTAAAGGTATTTGCCACCTAATCAGACAACCTGAGTTTGATTCCTGGCACTCAACACGGTGACTCCTGAGGGTTGTCCACTACAGTGACACACCTGTTGTGGCCCATGTGCGCACATACACACACTAAAAGAATAACTAGAAAAGAATGCAAAGTGAAAAGGCAGTTGGTTCTTCACCACCTTTCCAGTTTATGTTGGACTGCCTTTATGCAACAAATCCTACTGGCATGAGGAGTTCAGAAAGGTGAATGGACCTTATAAGAGCTCACTGTTTAAAGGCTGTCCTTAGGCACAAATGGTTTCAAACAAAACAAAAATCAAAATCCAGTCTGACAGGGCAGATGAGGTCTTAAACATGCTAAGACCATGTGAAAAGTCAGTTGGGTATCCACATACAGTTGCTTCAGAAACATGTGAGACATGTGTAGTCAGCTTACCAAATCCATCCATCTTGTATCCATGGATCCAATCAATTGCAGTTATATTGGCAGAGGAAGGGCTGAAACTGCACTTTGAGAACAGACTTCTATTCCCTAAACACTACAGTGTGAACACCTATTTTCATAGCATTTTTATTAAACATAATCAATAAGATTTAAGACATATGAAAGTGTAAGTGTCAGCCTTATGCAACTACTATGCCATTTCATGAAACTCTAGCATTTGTGGATTTTTGTATTGGAGGATTCTGAAACCAGTATTCCACACATATGGCAACTCTATATTAAAAATTCAAAGGCTGGAAAGACGGCTCAGAGGTTAAGAGCAATACTTTATCAGAGGCCCCGAGTTCAGTTCCCACCACCCACATCAGGTGGTTCATAAATAGTTTGTAGCTGCCAGCTACAGAAGATCCAAGGCCCTCTCTGGCTCTCACACAAATATGCATATAACCACACAAAGACACATACACATGATTAAAATTATTTTTTTTAACTTCAGGAAGCTCAGGAAATTATCTTCCAAATATTGCCTTATGATCTACTTCACTGGGGTCAGGAGATCTTAATGCTGATAGCTGCAAAGACAAACGGGTTCTAGGGAAAAAGTAGCTTACAATCTTTCATACTATCTGCTGGTGTATATAATGTGCAAAAACACAATGAAAGAGAAACTTTCCTCCCCAGGGGATAAGATAGGTGGCTGTAACGTTTGCTTTTTTCGTCTCTATTCTCTGCAAAGAGCATATACTACTGACAAACAAAAATATTATTCAACAAGGCAGGCAGTGAAGAATGGGCAAACATTCTGATTTAGCTTTATTTGCTGCTTTTGTAAATTATGATGTGACCCTTTGTTAGCAAAAAGACGACAAACCAGTCATTTACCAAGAGCATTGATCTCTAAAAAAAAAAAAAAAAAAAGTGGAGAAATCCTTCAAATCTTTCCAACACATTTCACTACAATATACGAACTGTTGCAGGAAAGATGTTGACTCAGGTTCAATGCTCAATCACCCTTCAAATGGCAACTCCAAACTGCCACACTACCTGGACCCAGAGCTACTAAAATCAATGTCAGACTCAAGTAAAATGGACACTAATTTTTATTTTTTTAAGATAAAAAAAGATGGGAAATAAATTATGATTTTCCTTAGAAGTAGAGATAAACTTGCAGGAAAAAAAATGTTTACTTAAAAAGTATTTTTCCTTTTAAATAACCAAGCAAAGTCACCTGAAAAGGCATACCTGAGAATTTAAGAAATATTTTATGAAAACCAAGTTTACTTAAAAACACAAATGAAACTAAACAAGTATCTTTATTGGCAGAAGACAAAGGTGAATGTTGGGGGCTGAAGACATTAAAGTCAAAATAGACTCCTTTAATTCCATTCAACATGACTTTAAAATTCAGCATCTTCCCTTCAAATTCATGAAGACTAATGGAAATTTAACATAAAAAGTTATGACCAACTGGATCCCTATCCCTTATATGCATCATGTTTTTATTACAATATTACAAATGAAATAAAGGCCATTCAATTAAATTCACCTGATCTATTTCATTTGGCCTAGGACAGATACCAAGTGTTTTTACTTTGGGGGCAGAAAAGGAAATAAAAACTAAATTCACTCTGCTGGGGGTCATAAAGCTAGCTAGTGAAGGCAGTCCTCATGAGTAGAGAGAACTCTTGTGCAGCAGCC